GCACTGAAACAGCCGCTTCATCAGAGCCATTTCCATGCGCCGACCGTGCTGACATGGAGTGGGGACAGCTAAGAGATGGCGCACAGCACAGAAACCCGCAGGGGAAGGAGGAGAAAGGCTTTTAGGGACACGGTCAGCCCCCCAGGCCTGAAATGTCCTGTCTGAATTAACATGGTGGTTTAATTAAAAACTATGTAGAGAATTCTGCTTAATTTGATTTTCAATTCAAGCTCTGCATCCGCCCGTGGCGAGTGGCCAATTTCCGCATCTCGGCACAATATGCAAGGGGCTGCTTTAAAATCGATGCCCAGGGGAATCGATGGAGGAGGGGCCACAGGCCGTCAGGGACGCCACAGACTGAGACACAGTAAAACGCACCAGGAGGGTGGCCGAGGAATATAAAGCGACTTGAACTCAACCATATTACAAGTTTGTCATTACTCAGGTTATTGTGCTGGGCTACCAATTAGAGGTGTTTTCTAAGCTCTCTTCAATGTCGCTGGGAACTGATGTGTCCAACGTCACCAGCGAGCAAAGAGCTTCAAAGGCATCAACAGAAATACATGTACTTGCCAGCCGAGGGAGCATGTCAGCGACTCGAGGAGGCTGCAGTCAGTGACCGGTACCCCTGCAGCGCTGGGCCCAGAACGCTGAGGCTGCAGCCAGTGACCGGTACCCCTACAGCTCTGGGCCCAGAACATCGCAGCTTACCGGGAGGCGGGCCTGGGGCCATACTGCTGCCTTCCTTCACAGAAAGGCACAGCCTGAAGCTCCCGTGTGCTGTGCACATTCACACTCAACTGGACAATGCTAATAACCCTTGCAACTTCCCTGTAATTGATTTAAAACCGAAAGAGTATGAATATTTTTAAATAACATGTCATGATCACCTTCCCTGGAAAGCTTCCCAAACATCCCTAGGACAGCCTGGCAGCCTAGTCTGGCAGTGGGGTGACTCTGCTTCAGTCTAGGTCATTCTAAAATGGGAATCAAAATGGGACCTTAAATCTCTGAGCTGTGGGAACAATGAGGAGCCGCCTCTGCTCAGTGGCCTCGGATGACCCCCGACACCACTGCATTTTCTAGGACAGGTACTAGTCAACGCAGGCAGCTCTGGGAAGATGGCAAGGACAGCTGACGTCCAGGGGCTGGCCCTGGACTGCGGGCTTTGCTTTACATGTGGCCTCCTCCCATTGGGCCCCCATACACAAGGCCACTCACCTCAGAGGAACCCTCAGCTTGGGCGTCTCACCTCTGCACTCCGGCCTTCCCCAGCACTCAGCCTCCCCGCAGCCTCCAGGCCACTCCTCCCTCACCTTCACTGTCACCCTCCTCCCTCAGAGGCACTAAGGACCCGCTCTTTGATTTGGTTTCTACAGCCTCCTTCATTCCACCACTATCTAGTCAGATCAACAGCAATATCTTGAGTGCTGCCTCCTCGCCGTCTTTTAAAATTCTTGGCTGTTTGGGAATTAGTTGGGCAGCCGTGTCAACGGGACCCCACAATCCTTCATTCACCACGTCAGTGCCCTTTGTGATCCCACAGAGGAGCTGGTGAGCCAGAGGGATTTGATGACAGTAACGGAGTGAATGTTCTTTCCTTCATGTAGAGAGAAACTGGGAGCACATAACTTAGAGGAAAGAATGCTGTACGGGGGTGGCGGGGGGCTGGGAAGAGATCAACCAAAGAACTATTATGCATATATGCAAAACCCATGGACACAGACAACAGTGTGGGGAAGGCCTGGGGGGCGGAGACGGAGGGGGTCAGTGGGGGGAAAAGGGGGAACATCTGTAATACTTTCAACAATAAAGATAAAGTTTAAAAAAGAAAGCTGCACAATGGAGGGGTGAGGTGCTTCCTCGCCTTCCCGGACCCCTCCTCCGCGCTACATGCAAACAACACAACACTTCGGGAGCTCAGGGGTTTTCCTTTACCCAAGAGAATAGTGACATGTCACGGTTTTTGTGTCCAGTTTTTTTTTAATTCTAGAGATAGTTGCTAATTCAGCTCCAATAAATCAAGCCAAGTCCCTTTCTAGTTGGTTAGTTCACAAGAAGGGGGAAATAACTGGGAGGCAATTATTTGCAGTTTTTAAAAATTATTTAACTAATAACTAGACTTTTATAAAAAGCATAAAAGTAGGTACACCTATGAGACCAAATGTGAAACTATATTTAACACTGAGCTTTCCAGGTTGTTGTCTGCAGTGGGCAGATTCACACGCGGCAGAGACAGAAAAGAGAGTTCTGCATGTGTAAGGCAAACACCGACAGCGACTATAGGGACATGTGCCCCGGCGCTATGTGATGGGCCAGGCGGTGAGACATCTTCATATGCCGGTGCCACCACCACACGGCGTCTCACCTTCCTTTAGTGACTTAGATAAAACAGTAGATGCAAAAATCCTTTACAGAAGTCCTGTGCCCACTCCCTGCCACCTGCCCATAAAATCCCAACAACCCGGCGGAGGACTCGGGCTGCTCAACCAGTCTCCGCACCAGGCATTCCCCTTCTCAGAGAAGCCCACGTACTGCTCATGCCTGGGATGCACTAGGCCAGCGGTTCTCAACCTGTGGGTCGCGACCCCTTTGGTGGTCAAACGACCCTTTCACAGGGGTCGTCTAAGACCATCGGAAAACACATATATAATTACATATTGTTTTTGTGATTAATCACTATGCTTTAATTATGTTCAATTTTTTTAAATATATATTTTATTGATTTTTTACAGAGAGGAAGGGAGAGGGATAGAGAGTTAGAAACATCGATGAGAGAGAAGCATCAATCAGCTGCCTCCTGCACACTCCACACTGGGGATGTGCCCGAAACCAGGGTACATGCCCTTGACCAGAATCGAACCTGGGACCCTTCAGTCCCCAGGTCGACGCTCTACCCATGAGCCAAACTGGCTAGGGCATGTTCAATTTTTAACAATGACAATACATCCTGCATATCAGATATTTACATTACGATTCATAACAGTAGCAAAATTACAGTTATGAAGTAGCAACGAAAATAAATTTTGGTTGGGGGTCACCACAACATGAGGAACTGTATTAAAGGGTCACGGCATTAGGAAGGTTGAGAACCACTGCACTAGGCCATCACCCGCCTACTCCTCCTGCTTTGCGGGTGGGTCCCAGCTCCAGAGCAGGCGGCCTCTGTACCTCCCGGGGCTCTCAGGGCTCGCGGAACCAAGACCTGCGCTCCTCTGCACTTCCGCAGCGGCTGCAGTCTACAGTCCACCACTCCGCAGGCTACTCACCTGCCTGACTTCCCTCGACACCCTTCCAGTCAGGAGCCTGTCTTTCCATTTCTGTCCCTGGCAAGCTCCTATAATAGCAGGATAATTACTACCTAGTACATGCTTAGTAAAACTGTCAGATGAATGAATATTCATCAAAGGCTCCCAAATTCTACGGAATTGGTTTCTCAAGTACCTCATTTCTTCTCGATGCTCATTCTTCCGGCCCTCCTGAATGCTGTAGTTTACAAGCCGTTCTAGACTACGCTCTGCTCCAGTCCTTGCACCCACAGCACCTGCCCCGAGGCGACCCTCTACCAACCTCCACCATCCATCCGGCCTCTCCTTCCCCAACCCACTGTCCCTGGCCAGCTCCCACATGATGGCCCTCACTGTGCTCCCTGCAGTGCTGGCTGCAAACAACACAAACACTTCAGAAGCTCAGCAGCAACCCCTGGGTTTAGTACTAGTTCTGCACCTGCACATATGAGCTTCGTGGACAATTTAATAACATTTAATATCGCTGGGCCTCAGATGTCTCCTTATAAAAGGAGGGTTTGAAGGAAATCCCTTTCAGCAACACTTCCTATAATTTCTTCAAGAAATTACAACAAAGAGCTTTTTAAACTATGTAATTTTTCACATTATATAGATGACTTAGGTCATTTAAACGCATCACAATAAAAAACAACTCCAATAAATAAAAGCCAGTGATGTCCGGCCAGTGTGGCTCAGCGACTAAGCGTTGACCTATGAACCAGGTCTGGAAACCAGAGAGGCGGGCCCACCGACACACTTTCCCCTCACCCTCTGGTGAGCAGGCCCAAAACGTGCTGAACTTCAGGTGTACAACAGAGTCGTCAAACACTGGCTAAACAATCTCATTCCTAAGAACCCACAAAAGGTGACGTGAAACAATCTCCCAAGCCAACTTTATGTACATGACATTGCAGTACTGTTCAACAAGGTACACAGCACACTTTCCCCCATACGTTGCATGAATAGACTAAAAATGAAAAGGCATACTGTGCTATAAATAAACTGTAACACAAGCTCATTTTGTCAAGTTTAAAAGTCACCCAAAAAGTACTAGCTACTTAAATCTTTGCATTATATTCCAAAAATTATAGCAAAGAGCTCCACAGACTATAAGTAAAAAATATTCCTTTCATTTTAAAATGCCATATTCAAGGATGGATGAAGTCCTTACCACTTAGAAAGTCTGACTAATTGAGATGCTCTTGCGAAGTCTCCCATTGGTCCACTTCTACCTCCTACCCACTCACAGGAGTAGCTTGCAGCACCTTGGGAATCTGATTGTCTAATGGAGCATGTCTAATGCTCTAACAGGCTACAATCCTGAAAACACTGGACATGAAATAACTTACATCAAGATACATTCTAAGCTTCTAGAATTTTGTTCCATGCTTTAAAGCAAAGGAGAGGAGAGAGCCTAAGAGAGAGTAACAGCTACTGCGCTGGGTGTCCCATTCCACATGGCACACTCCGCCAGGCAGCACACCCCCAGGAGCACTCAAAGGTCAAAGACGCCCTGGTCCCTGTGGACTCACAGTCAGTTCATAAGCAATGTTACTAAGATACTCTTAATAGTAATAGTAACAAGGTGTTGTTATTAATTAAACTTATTACATTCCCGTCAAATGGCTGTTTAAGCCAACTTTTTATAGTTCAACATGAATGGTATTTACTTCTCCATGTAACTAATTTAATTCCAAAACACGGGCCACTCACCTTTTTCAGGCCAGCAAAACCTTCTGATTCCAGGAAGAAGAAGGCAAAGGGCATCAAGACAAACAAACAAAGGTTGGAGAAGAGAGAAGCGAGGTTCCACAGACCTAGAGGGCAACACAGAAGACAGCCAGGTCAGGTACGGACACGACACGCTCGGCGGAGAAATGACCACGCTGAACTGTGGCATTAGAGCGCTGTGCTTTCTAACAGTAAAATAAACATAAACTTGAAGAGAGTGGCCTAACAAATGACCTAACCTTAGAAATCAGAAAGTAATTACCTATTTAAATTGTGTGCAACTTTGTAACATGTACCTACTGGTAAAGCCAAGATAGGAATGAATTTTTCCTCACACCCTGAAATAAAGTCACTACAGATATGACATGTGCAGAGACCCACAGACATAGCTTCTTTAGACATATTGGCACCTGAATATTTACATTAGAGCCACTAGCATTTATTGAGCACTTAATAAATTCCAGATACTCTACTAAACATTTTACATGCATAATCTCATTTAATTTAAGCCTCATAAAAACCCTAAAAGTAATAATTAGCATTTATTGAGCCTTTATGTGCCAAGCACTATTCTAAGTGATTTACAGATATGATGCGGACTCATTTACTCGTCCCAGCAGCCGCCCAACACGACAGCGGTGGAGGCAGGTCACCATACCGGCCGAGGTGCACAGCCAGCCTGTGGCAGCGCCAGCTCCTGGGATTTTTAAAAAACACCACACCACAGACGTTTTAGTAAGCAATTACAAGTGGGAAAGAGAAGGGAAGCTTATATACCCTTTTCCCTTTCTCACATATACCACACTCTTTTAGAAAACCACTGTAAAAAGCAACTAAGAACAAATTTGGAAAAAAAGAACTTTAGATGTGTCCTTGGGACAGAACTTGGCCCAACACCTCCTACTTTTTAAAAGTAAAAAACTGAGCCCCAGCTGGTGTGGTTCAGTGGATAGAGCATCGGCCTGCAGACTGAAGGGTCCTGGGTTCAATTCTGGTCAAGCACACATGCCCAGGTTGCAGGCTCGATCCCTAGTAGGAGGCATTCAGGAGGCAGCTGATCAATGATTCTCTCTCATCATTGATGTTTCTCTCTCTCTTTCTCTCCCCCCCACCCCCGTCTCCCTCTCTCGTCCCCTCTGAAATAAATCTATAATAATAAAAGCGTAACATGCTAATTAGCCTGGACGTCCTTCTGGACGACCTTCTGGACCAAGCCTGGGCTACAAGGGCTGAGGCAGCCGCTGCGGCTACAAGGGCCAAGCCCCTTGTATGAATTGAATTTCCTGCATCGGGTCTCTGGTAATAAAATAAAATTTTTAAAAAGGTAAAACACTGAAATTTAAAACTGATTTTCAAAATTATGGCTATAATCTTTATAAAATTTACAAAATCCAGAGTCAAAGATAAAAATTATGCTACGATTAGAATTCCGTGCGTTTGAAGCGGGCACCTGCTTTCTTCCCGCCTGGATTTCCAAGGCGCGGAGGCCGGGATCTGGGGACACAGCCACTAGAGAGCAGAACACAAACCTATGCGGTTGCAGCTCTCAATCCAGGCACCAGACACTGCACGTGAGCTCTCAGGGGACCAAGGTGGTGGTTACAAATTAACATCCGTGAGCCCTCACCGCCCAGCCCCATGGGAACAGCATGGGATACAAACAGAAAGAGCCAGTGCGTCCTGTGGAGCTTCTAGAGCAGCTGTCGCCAGCAGGTGGTCCGCGAGGTCCGAAAGGCTGGCGACCGCTGATCTAGATAGAGAGACTGACCTTCAGTAGGGAAGGGGGCAGAATTTAAAAATTCAACTTACAGTTTCTTATTCAAAAATGTAGGCAAATTTAATGAAATTGACAACTTACTTAGCTTAGCAGGAACTAAAATGTTTCACAGATTTTAGGGGGAAACATCTTTCAGTGGAAAACTTTAATTTGAACTTTTTAAAATAAAAATTGTTCTAAAGTACTTTTCTACTTTCCAGACTTTCAACACCTTCACCCTTTTCTTCATTCAAAGGGGTTATCATCACAGTCAATTGTTTTATTGCATTAATAACTGGAAGGGCTCACAGGACAGTGGCTCAATGCCCCACCTGGAGTGTCAGACACCTGGGTTCCAGCCTCATCAGCATGTCCATGTGCCAGACCTGCTGAGTCACAGGCTCTTCTCTAGAAAGCGAGGCGAGGACCCTGCCTACAGGTGGTGGTGAGAACTAAGTGAAACAATGCACGTAGGACAAGCAGCACACCTGGCACACACAAAAGCACTGCGTGACTTTCTGCTTCTGTAACAGCCCCAGCCCCAGAGGTGCTAACAGGCGGGATGACTTCCCTACTCCCTTCCTGCCAGGAGTATCAGCTCTTGCTTTTTGTCACCAGCAGTTTGCACATGTCCAACAATAATCTCTCCCCTCCCCCAAGAGATGCTGGGGATGGGCACCATCTACACACATGTGCCTACGAGCTGATGGGCCTCAATCAGAGCTGTGCCCTCCAGGTCAAGTTCACAAACTTCAGTGCATGGTCTTTGGCCTCTACTTTGCTCAACAGCACTTGACCTCCCTCCATAGGGTTTCCAAGTAAGTTACTTCCAGTGCGATTGAAACTTCGTGGCCACACTCAAGGGGCCAAAGAGCTGCATGTGGCTCGCGAGCCGCAGTTTGCCGACCACTGATCTAGACGATTCATAGCACATTATATTCTTTTGGTGGAGAACTGTGACTGCTGTATGTTGCTTTGGTTAGGTCTGGTGGAAAACAGAGAAACTGCGGTTTTCAATCATTAGTGCTGAAGAGATAAAAGTTCGTGTATTCTATCTCTTGTTAAGTCCCTAGCATCTCAGACATGTTCTGGATGCTTTGGGCACCACACCGAACTCTTCCTGATAAGGTAAGCCCTCTAGTGTACAGACGGCCTTCCAGCTCAGAAACACGCCTTTGCCCACAGCGGGAAACGGCAGCCACTCTTCCTAAGGTGCTGCCCCATTTTAGCAATATCAGCACCCATTCCCACACCCTCATCTTCTTCACAGGTGCCTGCACGCTACAGCGCAGCTCCCCAGAGCCCGGCTCCCAGCGGGGCGGCACCGTGCCGCCCCCTCCCCCTCACCCCCCACCCCGCGCTGGCTCCAGGGCCAGGATCCCATCCTGCGTGGCAGAACACGCATGACATTCTGTAGCACCAATGTTAACCAGGAAACACCCTCAGTAAAAGCTCACAGGCCAACTAAGGAAGTAGATTGAGAATAATTCTCCATTGTCAATGCACAATGAAGGGAATCACAACACAGATAAAAATTTAAAATATTCATTTTAACCGATTCACCAAGTGATAACTGACATAAACTGCATACTGAAGGTGTAAAATTTCATCAGTTCTGACCTAAGGACTCACCAGTGACAGCACCACCGTAATCAAGATAATGAGCACACACCCGTTTCCTCCACCCACTTTATCATCACAGCGCCCGACACTCCCAGCCCTCCTCCCGGCAGCCACCACATCCGCACTAAGTTCAGAAAGACAGCACATTTAGAATTTTATATTCACAGTGTGTGTAATATAGTCTTGTCTGGCTTCTGTCGCCTCGCACAGCTTCCGGAGCTTTTCCAACACTGTGACATGGATCAGTCGTTGGCCCCTCCATCCGAATCCGTGGAATCCAGCTCTCACACTGCACCATTCACCTGCAAACTCTCCCTGGTCGTTGCCAATGTGTGGCGCTTACCACGAAAGCCGCTGCAGACTCTTTGTCCAGGCCTCTATATGGACATATGCTTTCATTTCTTTGGGGTAAATATGTGAGCAGAAAGTGGCTGGATTGTATAGCAGGTGGATGTTTAACATTTTAAGAAACTGCTGAAAAGTTTTCCAAAGTGGTTATATAATTTTACATTCCCAGCAGCAGAGTTCAAATTTCACTTGCATTTTGCCAAAACTCTCTGCCCATTCCAGTGAGGGTACAGTGGCAGCTCATTGCATTGACTGGCATCTCCCTAATAAGTAAGGCTGTGGGCATCTCTTCATAAACTTGCTAGCCACATGCTTATAGTCTTTGGTGACATCTCTTCGAATCTGCTGCCCGCTGTTCCCTGGGTTGTCTGTTCACCTGTCACGAGTGTGGCAATTTCTTTATCTGCTCTGAACACAAGTCCTGGGTCAGGGAAGTGAGCCACAGGCATATTCTGCCAGACTGTGCATTGTCTTTCTATCCTCTTAACAGTATCTTTCAAAGAACAAAATTTCTTCATCTTTATAAAGTCCAGTTTATCGATTCTCTTTTTTGCTTTAACGGGTACCATATTTTTCCATGTATAAGACACCCCCATGCATTAGATGCCCTCCACTTTTCCAACCCAAAATTAAGAAATCAATATTTTAAACATTTTGCTGGTTTTCCTCTTAAGGCCTTCTTCCTTTTGGGCATCTTAAGAAGCTGTTCTTCCTGTTTTCTCCACGGTCTGATCATACACTCAGTGGGAGGAGGACCAAACTGTCTCTCTGCAGCTCTATGGCCATGCTCTTTGCACAGCTGATCACATTCAGTTTGAATTCTGCAGAGTAAGACGGTCGCTTACCGGTATTTATCTTTTTATTTCTGACATCTTTATGGGCTCAGAACGCTCAGGTCCCTGTTGCACTCTCCACCTCCAATTACAGCATCAGCTGACGTCAGTTAACAATAAGGCTCATGATTGGACGAGGCCTGTTTGACAAGGTATGGGCAGCTGTGCACCCTCGTGGCTCCCACCTCAGCTGAATTCCGTGTATAAGATGCCCCTTGATTTTCAGTCTAACGATTTCAGAAAAAAAATAGCATCTTATACATGGAAAAATACAGTAATTTCCACCCAAAAAAACTATGGCCTGGTCCAGTGCCACAGGCTTCCTCCTAAGGTTCCCTACATGGACTCCAGCTTTAGGATTTACATTCAGGTCTATAATCCTCTTGAGCTGCATTTTGTAGATGATCCGGTATGGATTGAAGTTCATCATTTTTGTGCATGATTATCCAGTTGTTCTGACACCATTTGTGGCAAATACCCCTTTTCCACCAAATCAGCTTGCACCTTTGTTGAAAGTGAATTGACA